GGATGCCAGCTGACTGAGTAACTCAAAACTGCTGCCTCTTGCAGCCAGCAGATGGTGTTGTGGTTAAGGCACTAAGCTCCCACGTGGACAATTGCGGTTCAAGTCCCGGACATGGTAGCTTGAAAAATCACACTAGGTACATGTGTGTGTGTGCCCAAAATCCCAGGAGGAGAATGGAAAAGGGATTGTGGCGTGACGATCCCCTCTAGGGGGTGCTTCACTTTCCCTCTCTCTCTCTCTCTCTCTCTCTCTATCTCGGTGAGCACACGCACCCTATGACAAAAACCTTTAAAAATAAAACAAAACTGCTGCCTCTTAAATGAATCATTTTTCTTTGATCTCTTCATTCCCTACTTTGCTCCTCCCCACCCACTATACTCCTTTTAACTGTAAGAAACCCCGCACCCCAGTGCTCGCCTCACCGCGCTTTTTCACACACTGTCTCTTCACCCTCCAAAGTCCTTTTCCCTCCCCTCCATCAAAGTCACTCTTCTACAAGGTCTATTTAAAGCTATTTGTATTCCGAAGATCAGAAGTTGAATCAATCTTGAGGCCGGCAGATGGCACAGTGGTTGGAGTGCGGGAGTACCACATGGCTGATTATGGTTCGAGTCCTGGACCTGGCAGCTTGCTTTCTCACTTTCCCTCTCTCTCTTTCTGTCTCTCTCTCTGCTTACATTTAAATAAAGAAATAAATAACAATGATGAGTAAAATTAAATTTTAAAAAACTCTAAAAAAATACAAAAAGAAGAAATTGAGGGGGATCAGCAGATGGCATAGTGGTTAAGGCACTGGACATTCCCACATGACCAACCAAGGTTCGAGTCTTGGACCTGGTGGCTTGCTTTCTCACTTAACCCCTCTCTCTGTGTCTCTCTATAGTCAAATTAAAATAAATGAATGAGGGGCCGGCAGATGGAGTGGTAGTTAAGGTGCTGGACTGTGGTTCGAGGCCCAGATTTGGCAGCTTGCCTTCTTACTCTCTCTCTCTCTCTCTCTCTGATCAAATTGAAGCAAGAGAGGGAACCAGCAGTTAGTGTAATGGCTATGTCCCTGGACTCCCACGTAGTCAACCATGGTTCGCGTCCCGGACCCGGTGGCTTAAAACTCACGCCGGGCGCGTGTGCATGCGTGCCCAAGATCCCGGGAGGAGAATGGAGGAGAAGGGATTGCGGCGTGACCATCTCCCCTGGGGGGTGATTTCTCGCTTTCTGTCTCTATGTCTCTGTCTGGTGAGCACACGCGCCATATAGCGAAAATCTCTCCAAAAAAAAAAAAAATTGAAGCAAGAGAGACAAAGAGACAGCCACCCCCAATAGGGTTGAGCTGCCGCGATCCACCCCCAGCCTAGCCAGACCCAGAGCATAAACACACATGCCTTGCCTCTCCGGATGCAGACCAGGACCCTCCCATGGGGATCAGCCCCGCCGGGTGTCACACTTCATTGCTGTCCACCACCTGGCCCCCATTTTCTTCTTTTTACTGCATGGAGGTAAAAATCACATGGTGGGAAAGTAACCATTTGTAAATACACAAGTTAGTGGCCTTGAGCGCATTTACACTGTGCAGGTGTCACCACTGTCTAGTCTCAAAACACACACGTCACGCCAAAAGCAAGCCCGTTGCTATTTCTCTCAAGCAAATCACGCCCAGCCTGTGTTTCCCAGAAGCTAGGCGTGTTACAACAAGGAAGGGAGGAGCCAGCATCTGAAAACTTACAGTTACACACGGCTTGGGGTGGGAATCATGCTGGCTTGGGCTGGCAGGTTGCGTGGTGATTAAAGGCGCTGGATTCCCACACGGCCAAGTGCAGTTCAAGTCCTGGATCTGGCAGGATCTCACTTTCCCTTTCTCTCTCTCTCTGTCTGGTCAAATTGGTAATAATAATAATAATAACAACAATAACAACAAATCGAATTAAATAAATAATTATTTTAAAAAATAAAAGAAGTCATATGGCTTGCTTTCCACGGTTCTCTGAGGGGGAAGAAACATCATTTTAGTGTTCTGAGATGGTTGCGTTAGGATGTCACCAGAGGTTCTAAATTCCTGTGCAGAGGGCACATCTTCTCAACTTCAGAGCAGGAGCAGCTCAGAGGACCTGAATGGAGACAATGGAAGACCCATGCTTTGGGGGCGAGGTGCAAGCCACGAAGCCCATGTGCCACGCTGCGCAGTGCTGCGTGTGGAGGGAGACGGAAGGAACGGGAAAACTCCTTTGGCCGGCCTTTGTCCTTGGTGCCCTAGAGTTCCTGTCTTGGGGTGATTAAATGAAGACAACCACAAGCTCTAGCAAGAAAGGGACACAGCGTCTGCATGGGAGGATCCCAAACCACACTTTATAACCTAGGGCCATATTGATAGATGCTTTGATTATTTCTTTCAATCACCCTGAGCTATATTCCATTTTGCAGATGAGGAAACTGAGGCCGGTGGAGGAAAATAACCTGCTTAGGCTCTCACAGGAATGCAGAGCTAGGATTCGACAGGTCCTAACTCACCAGGCAGATTTCTTTTTTTAAGAGGTTTTCGCTATAGGGTGTGTGCTCTCGCCAGAAAGACAGAGACAGACAGAGAGACAGAAAGCAAGAAATCACCCCCCCAGGGGGATGGCCACACTGCAATCCCTTCTCCTCCATTCTCCTCTCAGGATCTTGGGCACGCACGCACATGTGCCTGGTGTGAGTTTAAGCCACCGGATTCGGGACTCGAACCATGGTTGGCTACATGGGAGTCCACGACATAGTCATTACGCTACTGCTGGTCCCAGGCAGATGTTTTCTGAAGACACACAGCCCAGGAACTTGGCCAGTCCTAACTTTTATTTATTTATTTATTTATTTATTTATTTATTTATTTATTTATTTATTTATTTAAATTCAACCATAGAGGGATAAAGAGAGATAGAGAGAAAGAGAGAAGGCAAGCTGCCAGGTCCAGGACTTGAACTGTGGTTGGCCATGTGGGAGTCCAGTGCCCTTAACTACCACACCACCTGCCGGCCCCCAGTCCTAACTTCTCATCCACTCTTGGCTCCAAGTGCACCAGGACACACAGCAACTCCTTTTCCCACCCTGAATGCAGGACTTCACGGCGAGCACTCTTCTTTCCCCTTGGCCAAGTCTACGCCATCTACACGTGGTGAAGCAATGGCACCTACACAGCTCCGACTGGCACGCACGTCAGGAACCCAAACCCAAACGTGATCCCGAAGAAGGACTCTCTTAGCGTATGTACAAGTTGATTTTATTTCTACAAACGTCGCATTAGCCTTGCCTTTGTAAGTCACTTTTCTGGAGCCAGCAGGTGGCTTAGTGGTTAAGGTGCTGGATTCCCACATGGCTGACGACAGTTCAAATCTCAGACCCAGAAGTTAAAAATCACATGGGAGAAAAGAAAAGGAAGAGAAGGGATCGCAGTGTGGCCATCCCCTGAGAGGCTGATTTCTCCCTTTCCTGCTCTCTGTCTCTATCTCCATGGAGTGCTCTAGGGCAAAAACCTTACTAATTAAAAAAAAAGCAGTCACTTTGCTGAAAATAAATGTTCTAGAAATGCATTCCTTTTTTTTTTTTTAATCTTTTCTTTTTTTTTTGGAGAGGTTTTCGCTATAGGGCACGTGCACTCGCCAGACAGACAGAGAGAGACATAGAGACAGAAAGTGAGAAATCACCCCCCCGGGGGGATGGTCACACCACAATCCCTTCTCCTCCATTCTCCTCTCGGGATCTTGGGCACACATGCACGCGCCCCCGGCATGAGTATTAAGCCACCGGGTCCGGGACGCGAACCGCGGTCGACTACGTGTGGAGTCCAGTGACATAGCCATTACGTCAACTGCTGGTTCCCTGGAAATGCATTCTTTATAAATATAGAGCATGCATTAATGTACAGACTTCACAGAAGCATCTTAAACTGGTCAACTCAGTTGAAAGATTTGCAAGACAAGTTGTTGATTGTGGAGGGCTTAGCGGTTTCTCAGAGTTCCTTGGAGTCTTGCTTAATTCTAACTAATTAGGGCAGAAAGGACAGAGATAGCAGTTTATCTTAATGATATAAAATAATTAAATGAGTAAAATGACTTGGAAGAAATGACTGAATGATCAAAGTTTTGAGCAACCTAAAAGTTAAAGGCCAAGGCTGACATTTTAAGACACGAGATAAGATCTTTCACAGTCATATAATTTTTTTTTTTTTTTTTTGCTATAGGTTGTGTGTGCTCGCCAGACAGACAGAGAGAGACAGAGAGACAGAAAGCAAGAAATCACCCCCCAGCAGGGATGGCCACGCCGCAATCCCTTCTCCTCCATTCTCCTCTCAGGATCTTGGGCACGCACGCACACGCACCTGGCGTGAGTTTTAAGCCACCGGGTCCAGGACGCGAACCGCAGTCGACTACGTGGGAGTCCAATGACATAGCCATTACACTAACTGCTGGTCCCACAATCATATAACTTTTAATGGCCATTTTTATGCCACACCAGCAATAACTTGGAGTTGATTATTCATACCTCAGTTGATGGCAAGCACTTCAAAATGATTAAGGAGGCATGTGAGGTGACACCCCAAGGCATAGTTACGGAAGACTGGAGGGTCACAGCATCAGGACAACCCTCCTGCTTTCACCTTTGTCTCTCTCTCTCTCTCCTTTTTAAAAGAATTACTTAATTTTATTTATTCACTCATTTATTTTAATTTGACCAGAGAAAGACAGACACACAGAGAGAAGGAAAGTGAGAAAGCAAGCCACCAGGTCTGGGACTTGAACCATGGTCAGCCATGTGGGAATGTCCAGCGCCTTAGCCACCATGCCGCCTGCTGGCCCTCACTTTTGTTTCTCTCTTAAAATGAGACAATCAAGGAGGTACTGTCATACTTTATTATTCCTCCTTATTCTGAATTCTTTTTGTAATTCAATTTTTTAATTTAATTTTTTTTTTTTTTTTAGTTTGCTATAGAGCTCATGTATTCACCAGAGAGGGTCAGACAGAGAGAGAGAAAGTGAGAAAGCAAGCCGCCAGGTCCAGGACTCAAACCACAGTCGGCCACATGGGAGTTCAGTATCCTAACCATGCCACCTGCTGGCCTCTCCTTATTCTTAATTCTGAATGCATTGTATACAAACAAGTAAAATGCATTCTTGGCCTATGCATTATTTTTGAAATCGGAATGCACATCTGTGATCATTACAATAAAGAATGCCCACAAGCAAATGAAACCGCGTTTGAATTTCCACGAGTACGTTCGGAGTTTGAACATCTTGTATTTAATGTCTGGAGATCACGCCAGGCTGATACCTTCATATCCTGACACTTGAAATTGGCATAAAAAGTCTGGCTTCATTTTACAATAATTCTTTACAAGAATCAAGATGTGGGCTCATCACTTCACTAATTGTTTCTACACGCGGCGGGCTTCATAGAATACACCACGCCCAGACTTCTTATTAGAAAGCAGTAGGGCAGCAATGCTAAAGTTTTCTTAGATTGTTCCAGAAGAGCTAGAAAGTAATGAGAGGGTCCACTTTTTTCACAGCAGAAAGAAGCAATTTTGTCCACCAGGATCCCACTGTTCTCTGAAGAACCCAATCAGATCAGGTTAGAAGGGGTGGTCTTTTCCTTTTTCGATAGTATCTATAATCTCATCAGAACACTGCTCGACTTACTTGTCCCTGAAGACGAGCCTGGTGTGAGGGAGGATGCCTCGGTGCAGGCAAACCCCGGCCATAGTCACTGGACTTATCCACTGGAAGAGGAAAAGCTGACCACACGGTGGAAGGCCGCTCTTCACTAACGAGGTAAGCCTTCTCCTGACACCTGCTCGGGGAACCCTGACCAAAAGACGACCGTAAGTGAGCTTGAAACGTGAGACGCCCGTCAGCTCTGTGTTTTGCATTTGCATTTTTCACAGGGCGTCATGGAGCTCGTGATCCATGGTGGACTGCGTGTAAGAGGAGCTGGGGGTGTCGGCGACGTAAATCCGGAGGGGCCCACAGTACTGGCAGAGCACGGACAGGCCCCTGCAGGTTTTGAAGAGCTGAACGATGTACTTGCGAAACTTCTCCCCCAGGAAGAAGTAGATGACCGGGTTGAGGCAGCAGTGAACGAAAGCCAGGGTTTCTGTCGCCTGGAGGGCCAAGTCCAGGTACTTTTCGAAGGTGCAGTTCTGAACCACTTCTAGGTCCACCAGCATCTCCAGGAAGACCACGACGTTGTAAGGCGTCCAGAACCCGAGGAAGAGGACCACCACGGCGAAGATCATCTTCACCGCCTTGTTCTTCTTCTCGTTCTTACAGTGCTGCAAGGTCCTGACGATCGTGGAGTAGCAGAACAGCATGATGCCCAAGGGGATCACCAAGCCCAGGACGTTGACCTCCAGGGAATTCAGAACCTTCCACGTCGTGGCGTTGAACGAGTACCTGGTTTTGCAGTAAGTGCGGTTGTGCTCGGTGTAGCAGCTGCTGAACAGAAGGCCAGGAAGGGACGCGAAGATGGCCACGGACCACGTGGCCACGCTGGTGATGACGGCATAGCGCAGGGTCCTCGCCCTCAAGGCAAACACCGCGTGCACGATGGCCAGGTACCTGTCGATGCTCATGAGCATGATGAAGAATATGCCGCTGTAGAAGCCCACCAGGTACATCCAGGAGACGACCTTGCACAGGCCCAGTCCGAACACCCACTGGTCGGCGGCGTAGTAGCCCCAGAAAGGGAGGGACAGCACGAAGAGGAGGTCGGAGACGGCCAGGTTGAGCAGGTACATGTCGGTCATGGACTTGAGTCTCTTGTACTTGAACAGGACCAGGACCACCACAGAATTGCCGAGCAGGCCGAACACGAAGACCAAGAAGTACAGGGGCGGCAGGAACAGCTCCCCAAATTTCTTGACACCTTCTTTGGTGCAAGGCCCGGGTATATTTTCATAGAGATAGTAGTTGCTATACACGCTTTCATCCATGGTGGTGTCGGCTGTCTCTGTGGGGTTCATTTTTTAAATCTCTGGGTGCCTCAAGGCAGGTCCGGGTCCAACCAGAAGAGGCTAATGAGGGGAAATTAAAACAAGATTTCTGTCAGAAAAATAAGCTGATGGAACCAGCAAATGGCATGATGGTTACATCACTGGACGCCCACGTAGTTGACTGCAGTTCGAGTCCCAGACGTGGTGGCTTAAAACTCACGGCAGGCATGTGTGCGTGCACGCCTAAGATCCCAAGAGAATGGAAGAAAAAGGATTGCGGCGTGGGCATGCCCCTGGGAAGTGATTTCTCGCTTTCTGTCTCTCTGTCTCTCTTCTCTCCAGTGAACGCACATGCCCCTAAACCAAAATTTCTCTTAAAAAAAAAATCAAAAAGGGGCCGGCAGGTGGCATGGTTGTTAAGGGCACTAGACTCCTACATGGCTGACTGCAGTTCAAGTCCTGGACTTGGTGGCTTGCTTTCCCACTTTCTTTCTCTCTGTCTCTCTGTCCCTCTCTGGTCAAATAAAATAAATAAGGAAATAAAGTTCAATAAAATAATTCTGTGTCTGTCTGGTGAGCGCACGTGCCCTATAGTGAAAACCTCTCCAAAAAAATAATAATAATAAATAAAATAAAATAAAATAAATAAAAATAAACTGAAACAGTGCCAAATGCAGAGAGCAGAGTGACGTCCTGTTTTGCCCCCGATCACCGGACGCCCTTCTCTGCAGCCAGATGAAATGCTCCCGGTCTTGCAGTCAGACTCACTTGAATTCCAGCTCTGGGGGCTGGCAGGCAGATGGCATGGTGGTTAAGGCACTGGACTCTTGATGTGGCTGACCACGGTTTCAGTCCCAGAGCTAGACTAGAAGCTTGCTTCCTCTCTCCCTCTCTCTCTCTCTCTGGTCAAACTGAATAATAATAATGGTAAATAAAATTTTAAAATAATTCTTTAATAATAATAACTTCCAGCTCTGCCACATGCTAAAGCTGTCACACCTCTGCTGGGAGCTTCAGTTCTCTCACTTGTGAGGAGGCAAAAGTCTCCTTTTCAAGGAAGGTGTTTCTATTTCTTTTTCCAGATTAATTTCACATTATTTTTTAATTTTTATTTATTTTTTTAGAGGTTTTTACTATAGGGTGCGTGCACTCACCAGACAGAGAGAGACAGAGAGATAGAAAGCGATAAATCACCCCCCAGAGGGGATAGCCATGCCACAATCCCTTCTCCTCCATTCTCCTCTTGGGATCTTGGGCACGCACGCACATGCGCCCGGCATGGGTTTTAAGCCACCGGGTCCAGGACGTGAACCGCAGTTGACTACGTGGGAGTCCAGCGACATAGCCATTACGCTAACTGCTGGTCCCCTAATTCCACATTTTTACATAAAGTCCCCATCATGCTGTGTTACTTTTCATTACACGTGCACATTTTTTTTTAGCAGAAAACGTCACATTTAGTCTGTTAAATGTTTCCTTCCTTTGCACCTCACACCCACTCCCCCCAAAAACAAAAAAATCAAGATAAAAAATATAGTTCTTGGACCCAGCAGATGGTATGGTGATTATGTCACTGGAGTCCCACATGGCCCACTGCAGTTCAAGTCCTGGACACAGTGGCTTAAAAACCACACCAGGTGCATGTGCGTGCGTGCCCAAGATCCCGAGAGGAGAATGGAGGAGAAGGGATTGCAGCGTGGCCATCCCCCCTGGGGGGTGATTTCTCGCTTTCTGTCTCTATGTCTCTCTCTGTCTTTCTGGCGAGTGCACGCGCCCCTGAAGAAAAAACCAAAAAAAAAAAAAAAAAAAAAAAAAAAAAAAACACAAGTATCTATATGAAAAGTCTGCTATTTCCCTTCAGATTATGACTCCAAAAGTTAAATCAAATTGCAACTCCAAAAATTCAGTGAATGCTTTGATCATCATTAGGCTAGGAAAAAACCAGGTCGGTCACTTGCCTTTCTGTAAAAATGATAGTTCCGGGGCCGGCAGGTGACATGGTGGTTATGGGCACTGGACTCCCACATGGCTGAGCACAGTCTGAGTCCCGTATCTGGTGGCTTGTTTTCTTGCCTTCCTTCTTTCTCTCTCTCTGTCCCTCCCTGGTCAAATTAAAATAGATCAATAAATCAATAAAGTTAAATAATTCATGGGAAAAAAAGAGTAGTTCCTCCTGCAAGCTTTGCACTTTATAGATTTCAAAGCATGTTCGCCAGCACTGTGCCCTGAAGCCCATGCTCCTGTCCCTGCCCGAATCCCAACAAAAATCTTGGACTCTGAGTCAAGCGAGCGTAATAGAGTCATGGTGTAGACGACAGATGAAAAGACTCAGGGAGGTTCAGTGACTTCTTTCTGTGGTAGAAACAGTCTCACCACAAGTGATTTCCAGTTAGCAGCTGCCTCATAAAACTCCTGAACAGGTACTGGTCGGCTCTGGGCACCATCACCGAGTCCCCCGTCTGCTCCAGAGCACCAGCTCTGGTGAGAGCACACCTGGCCTATTTTACGCAGCAATGCAGCAAACTGTTTTTTAAAATTTTTTAAAAATCTTTATTTATTCATTTATTTTAATTTGACCAGAGAGAGAGAGAGAAAGTGAGAAAGCAAAGTACCAGGTCCAGGCATTGAACCGCGGCCGGCCATGTGGGAGTGTCCAGCGCCGTAACCACCATGCCACCTGCTGGTCCTCGCACATTTGTTTTTAAGGCCTTTCAAAAAGCTGCAATACTCAGCTAGGTCATTTCAGGGAATTTTGTAATCTTATGCTCCAACTGTATGTAAAGATCAATCCTGTCACTGAATCCTATCCAGTGGAAATGATAGCCTGATGGTATATCTAGAAAAGGCACACTAGGGCCGGAAAGAAAATCTTTACCGGGACCAGCAGTTGGCATAATGGCTACATTGCTGGACTCCCATGTGGTTGACTGCGGTTCAAGTCCCGGACCTGGTGGCTTAAACTCATGCTGGGTGCGTGTGCGTGCGTGCCCAAGATCCCAAGAGGAGAGTGGAGGAGAAGGGATTGCGGCGTGACCATCCCCCCTGGGGGGTGATTTCTCGCTTTCTGTCTCTGTCTTTCTGGCGAGTGCACGCGCCCTATAGTGAAAAACCTCTCCAAAGAAAATCTTTATCTCCCCAACCACCTTCATTTCCGATCAAAATGGCTGATGAAGTGATTAAACCTTCTCGAAGTTACATACATGCTCAGAGGTGTATAGAGTGAGCAGGGGTGAAGGGCTCTCTGACTCACGACTCTCCCCACACACCCAGCTTCCTTTGTAATGTTTTCAAGGCCCCCTGGCATTCCATAATAAGACCTTCCTCATCTAATCCCTCCCTACACCCTCGCCACCACACACTCAGATGTCCGAATTGTGTTTCTCAAGAGAGATTTTTGCATTATCCCCACAAACCGAGGCTGAAGGCCTGTCACGCACATCTCAGGGCCTCCTGAAATGTTTGCTAAAGGACTAATTCTAGTCTTTCTCTACCATTTTACCAGGGAAAATTACAAGAAGCGGAGAAGTTAGGAAATTAGCAGGAGAAACAAGAAACACAGCTGAAAACTACGGACAAGTTAATACGTATTTCTATGTCTAGAAAATAACCCAGAACTTGGGGCTGACAGATGACATGGTGGTTAAGGGTGCTGGACTCTACATGGTCAACAGCGGTTCAAGTCCCGGACCTGGCAGTTTGATTTCTCTGTCTTTCTCTCACTCCGTCTATCTCTGGTCAAATTAAAACTAAATAAATAAAGTTAAATAATTCTTTAAAGAAAGACAGAAAAGAACCGAGAACTCTTATCCCATAGGCACCGCATAATGTAACTTCTGAGGGTGAAGATGCGCATGGCCTGTCTACATCTTGATTAGATTATTACACATGCCTTACAAAACCACATGGTAAATTAAAAAAAATATATAGTAGCCCAAAAAGATATCCACTGACTATGTGTAAACCAGAAATCATACCTTATAAAAAGTAAAAAAAAAAGACAGACAGCTGATAAATGTTAGGGATTATTCTGTGGCCGCGTGTGTGTGTGTGTGTGGCCTAAGCCATTTGTATTTGGTGTGTGTGTGTGTGTGTGTGTGTGTGTGTGTGTGTGTTGCTCGCCCGGGAATCCTGATGGAAGAAGCAGAAGTCTGTATTGGTGCTGAGAATTAGCTGCCCATGTCAGCACGCGAACCCACGTCAGGTGTGTGCCCGGGAGGTGGGGGACAGGCAGAAGGAGTGTGAGTCCCAAGGCAGTGCTGGCCGCCAGCCCTGGGAGCACCAGGACGCCCGAGTGTCCGGGCTGGGTAAGGGGCTGGCCAGCTCTCAGGGCACCCTCCGGGTCACACACACGTCGGGGAAGCAGCACGTGGCCCAAGGCCCTGAGGACGTCCCCGTCCCCACTTACCTTGCTTTTCTGAGGCAGGTCGGAGAGGCAGTGCCCGGCGAGCTCAGGAAGCGCAGCGCTAAGCAGCACAGGTGCCTTTGAAGGGCGCGTGGTTTCCTGTGCGCGCCAGCTCTGTCCCTCACCGTCTGTGCCAAGTTCAAGTGGGGTTTCTGACAGACAGTGAGAAGCAGAGCCTCTTAGTCACTCGTTTCCCCAAATGAAAGCTAGGAAGTTTTGTTTCCTGCTAGATTCAGGAAGAAATGAAAATGAAAAGAGCAGAAAAAAAAACAAATCTTTTTTTTTTTTTAAGAGAAGCTCTTCAATTTTTACAAATTTATTTGTTGGGGGGTCACCTAGTGGCGTGGTGGTTGGGGTGGCTGGATCCCACATGGCAGATCACAGTTTGAGTCCTGAACGCAGAGGCTTGATACTCACACCGGGTGTGTGTGCGTAGGTGCCCAAAATCCTAAGAGGAGAATGGAGGAGATGGGATGGTGGCGAGGCCGTCCCTTCTGGGGGGTGATTTCTTGCTCTCTCTCTCTCTCTCTCTCCCCCCCAATAAGCACACACACCCTATAGCCAAAAAACCTCTCTCCAAATATATATATATACATATATATTTCCCCTCCATGGGGGCCAGAAGGCAGTGTGGTGGTTAAGGCGCTGGACTCTCTCACATGATTGACTGAGGTTTGAGTCCTGGATCTGCAGCTTGCTGTCTCAATTTCCCCCCCCTCTGTCTCTCTCTGGGCAAATTAAAAAATAATAATAATAAATTAAACAATTTATATATATATATATGTATATATATTTCCCTGTGACTGGTTATATGCAGTAGAACTGACCTTGATCTTCTGGAGCAGCGGGCTGTTGCTGTTGGCTGTTCCCCACTGTGGACATGCAACATCGATCCAGTCTAAACAATGCCAAGCGTGGGAGCCCATCCTCGAACCCCAGCTGGGAGACTGAGCAAGGAAGACTGGACCGTGGCAAGCTCCTGTCTTAGCAATAAAACAATCCCCCCACCTCAGAGTCCTTTTTTTAGACGTAATTTTTCTTAATCACTCCCCATGTAATTTTCATACCAAAGACACTCTGTCTGTCTGTTTATGCAGTGAACATCTGTGCTTTATATATACCAAAGTAAGAATTTTCCCTCCTCCCAAGAACTGGTTTTCACTTCCTCAGGGACAATATCGCCTCCCATGCAGATGTCTGAGTAGCAGCAGGTGTACTCGGCTGGGTGCCCTGTCCCCCAAGGGACATGCAGCGCTATCTGGAGCATTGAGGTCAAGGTGGAAGCATGTGGCTACTGACTTCTAGTGGGTGAACGCCAGGAATGCTGCTAAAATCCTTCAGTGCCCAGGATGGCCCTCCACGACAGAGTTTTTTGGTTTTTTTGGAGAGGTTTTCACTATAGGGCACATGAGCTCCCCAGAAAGACAGAGAGAGACAGAGAGATAGAAAGCGAGAAATCACCCGCCACGGGGGATGGCCACGCTGCAATCCCTTCTCCTCCATTCTCCTCTCAGGATCTTGGGCACGCACGCACACGCGCCTAGCGTGAGTTTAAGCCACCAGGTCCAGGACTTGAACCGCGGTCGATTATGTGGGAGTCCAGTGACATAGACATTATGCTAACTGCTAGTCCCCACGACAGAGTTTTTTGACTCAGAATGTCACTAGTGCTGAGGTTGAGAAACCCTGAGCTTTGGTCCGGCAGGTGGCATGGTAGTTAAAAGTGCTGGATTCTCACATGGCCAAGTGCAGTTCAAGTCTCGGACCTGGTGGCTTGCTTTCTCACTTCTTCTCTCTCTCTCTCCCCGACTCTCTCTGATCAAACTGGAAAATAACAATGATAATAATGAATAAAGTTAAATAAAATAATTCTTAAAAAAAAATAAAAAAGACTTCCTGCAAACCTCATCCCTACGCTGGCGTTCAGCACGCGGCCAACGTGAAGGGAGCTGTAAGTGAGACTATGGCGCCCCCTGGTGGAGGGAGTGTGATTTCAACACCGAAGACAACGCGCAGGGACCAGCTTATCTGGAGGGGAAGTCAGGAACAGTCCACGCCTTCAGGAGGAAATCCATAGGTCGCAGCAGCAGAGCAGGGGTGCCAAGGCAGTCACGCTTGGGTGTCAAACGCGTTCTTTACAGTTTCAAAACTTTGGTAAGGAAACAAACGACTGCAAACGATTCAATTATAAATTAATTTTTTAAAGAGTTTTTTGGCCTTACTGTGTGCTCGCCGGAGAGAGACAGCGAGAGGGAAAGTGAGAAATGGCTATAGCACTATCCCTTCTCCTCTCAAGATCTTGGGTACGTGCACACACGTGCGCGGTGTGTTTCAAGCTGCCAGGTCTGAGACTCGAACCTTAGTTGGCCATGTGGGAGTCCAGCATGTAACCTCTACACCACCTGCTGAGAATGGAGGAGAAGGGATTGCGGTGTGGCCATCCCCCTGGAAGGTGATTTCTCGCTTTCTGGCTCTCTCTCTCTCTCTCTCTCTCTCTCTCTGTCTCTCTGGTCAAAGTAAAATCTTTCAAAAAAAAAAAAAATTCAAAAGGTATTATATCCGTTCTCCATTCTCCTCTCGGGGTTTTGGGCTACCACGCACATGCGCCCAGCATGGGTTTCAAGCTGCCGGGTCCAGGACTTAAACCGAGGTCAACTACATGGGAGTGCAGCAACGTAAGCATTATGCCATCTGCTTGTCCTGCCTTTTTTTTTTTTTTTTTCTTCATGAGAAATTCAAGAATACTCCAAACTCGTTTCATGGCGTTAATATAACTTTGATAAGAAAATCGCATAGAGGGAGCAGCAGATGGTGTAATGTTTACGGTGGACTCTCATGTGGTCAACCGCAGTTTGAGTCCTGGACCTGGTGAGAAAAAGAAACCATATAGAAAGTATGAAAAAGTGTAACTGCTCAATTTTACTCATATGTATATGTATATGGTATACATATATATATATGATTTATTTTTATTTATTTATAGTATACATATACATATATATATGATTTATTTTTATTTATTCATTCATTTATTTTAATTTGACCAGAGAGAGACACAAAGAGAAAGAGAAGGAAAGTGAGAAAGCAAGCCACCAGGTCCAGGACTTGAAGCATGGTTGGCCATCTGGGAGTGCCCAGCACCTTAACTACCATGCCACCTGCTGGTCTCACTCACAAATACATTGATGCACGTGCCAGAAGGTAGCATGGTGGTTAAGGTGCTTGACTCCTATATGGCTGACCATGGTTCAAGTCCTGGATCAGGAGGCTTGCTTTCTTACTTTATCTCTCACTCTCTCTCTCTGGTGAGTGCACGTACTCCATAATAAATTTTAAAATAGCGATAATAACTATTTTAAAATTTTTAAAATATTTTTTTAGAAAATAGAAGAAAAACAAGTGGTCATTCGCGACAACACAGATGAACCAGGAAGATGTAATGTTACGTGAGATAAGCCCGGTACAGAAAACAAACAGGCGCGATTCATAAAGGCAGAGTGACATGGTGGTTGCAGGGACTTGGGAGGGGGGTGGGAAATGGGGAGATACTGCTCAAAAGATTCACAAGTTGAGTTAGAAAGAAGGCAGACATGGGACCGCAGTTGGTGTGGTGGTTGGAGACACTGGATTCCCACATGGCCGACCATGGTTTGAGTCCCGGACCTGGCAGCTTCCTTTCTCACTTTCCCTTTCTCTCTCTCTGATCAAATTAAAAATAATAATGATAACAAATGGAAATAAATATTTAAAAAGCACTGTCATTTAAGAAAAAAAAAAGAAGGGGGATCAGCAGATGGCATAATGGTTACATCACTGGACTCTCACATAGTCAAGTGCAGTTTGAATTCTGGATCCAGTGGCTTCAAACTCAGGCTGGGCACACATGTGTGCGTAAGATCCCTAGAGGAAAACGGAGGAGAAGGGATTGTGGCATGGCCATCCTCCTTGGGGGGTGATTTCTCACTTTGTCTCTGACTCTCCCATGCGCACATGTGCCCTATAGCAAAAATCTCTCTTAAGGTGCCGGCAGGCAGAGTGGTTGTTAAAGGCACTGAATTCCCACATGGCCAACCATGGTTAGAGTCCCGGACCTGGGACCTTGAGCTCTTGGTTTCCCTTCCTCTCTGTCTCTTTCTGATCAAATTTAAAAATAATAATAACAGCAAGTAGAATTCAATAAGTAAATAATTCTTTTAAAAAAACCCCAAAACTTGGGACCAGCAGTTAGCGTAATGGCTATGTTGCTGGACTCCCATGTAGTCAACCGCGGTTCGAGTCCTGGACTCGGTGGCTTAAACTCATGCCAGGCGCATGTACATGCATGCCCAAGATCCCAAGAGGAGAATGGAGGAGAAGGAATTGCGACGTGGCCATCCCCCCTGGGGGGTGATTTCTCGCTTTCAGTCTCTCTGTCTGTCTCTGTCTCTCTGGCAAGCGCACGTGCACTGTAGCAAAAACCTGTCAAAAAAAAAAAGAGTAGGAACACATAATACTATCATTTATTTTATTTTTTGAGAGATTTATGCTATAGGGTACATGTGCTCGCCAGAGAGAGAGGGAAAGTGAAAAATTACCCCACAGAGGAAGTGGTCACGCCATGATCCCTTCTCTTCCACTCTCCTCTTGGGATTTTGGGCATGTGTACACCCATGAGCGGCGTTTCAAGCTACTGGGTCTGGGCCTCAAACCACGGTCAACCATGTGGGAGTCCAATGCCTTAACCATACACCACCTGCTGGCCCTTATTTTATTTTTCACTTGCCAGAGGATGCGTGCGCTTGCCAGAGAGAGAAGGAGAGACAGAGACAAGGAGAAAGCACCTGCTGATAGGGCGTGGCCATACCACAGTCCCCTCGTCTCCGTCTCTCCATCCTGTTGAGATTTGGAGCACACGTGCACATCTGCCTGGTGTGTTTCTCAAGCCTTTAGGACCAGGACTCGAACTCAGTTGGCCATGTGGGACGCAGCTCCCTTACCCACCAGGCCGCAGGCTGGCCCATTCCTGGCTCGTGTTTGAATTGGGTTGTTCTGTCTTTGGGCTGTTGAGTCATAGGGATTCTTCGCATAGTCTGTAAAGGAGTGACTCATCAGATAAGTGATTTGCACGTATTTTCTCC